CCCTAGAATGGGCCCATTATATTTAAATAATATTTACACCAGGAGGGGGTCCTCTCTGCGGAGGCCACCATGTTTTTTACAGTAGCCCAAAATGGACAAACTGACAACTGAAGGCTACCACAGGTTCTCAACATGCAATATACAACTTCGCCACTAGATACCACTAAATCTTACACACTGAACCTTTAAATGACTCACCCCCAGTCCTCACTTGTCAACATGTGGATGCTGCTGTATGACATAACAGGAGGCATAGACACCTGCATTTATTTATGGACCCACTACAGCCAAAATAAAACATTTTCCTCCAGTGGGACAGCTCAGCCAAAGAGGACAAATGGGCTATTGCTCATGTAGCTTTAGCCCGGCCATGCCGTTGTCATGATCCTGTCCTCTGAAGTCTTATAGGAAGACTATTGGACTTTTCTGTTGTTTCTGTTGAGTTTTTATTTTATGGAGTCTTTCCTTAACTAAATTGAAATTCGAACAAATAAAATGGAAACAAACCCAGCCCAAGTAAAGAAATTGCCAATGTATATGGGAACTGCCAAGAAAAGGTATAATAGGTGTATTACTGCGGTGCCAAAAGGCACAGTGAAAAATCTTGGGCGCACCCAAATTATGTCCCGGTGGACCTAAATGAAAAATCTAGGCAAACCAGTGCAACCAATGTTAATAGTTAGTCTTGAGCCCTGATATAAAAAGTTAGGAATTACTTTTCATTTATTATATCAGTTATTTTTATGCACTAATTTCTCAAAAGGTAAATTCTTTACCCTAAAAAATACTTGGAAGCCTAATTTTTGCCTTTGGCAGACTTGTCAGAGGCTTTGAATTATTAGTGTGTTACACATTGAAGACCTTGATTTGACAGCCAGTGTGAAGGAGAGAATCTTAAAAAAGAGAAACGCAGGTAAAAATGGATGATTACAAGAAATTTACATTAATAAGAATACAGGTGTCCCTTGGGAGTTTTGCTTGCCCTGCGGTGTGCCTTGGGCAGAAAAAATTTGAAAACCACTGCTGAAGAGGACACTGAAGTTCACATCACAGGAGCAATATGAAAGCATTTTATGATTTTTTTCTGTTTCTTTTTTGCATTTGAAGAAGTGGTCCCCAGTGACTTCAATCATATTGGATTTGGCTGCAACGCTTTTTACCGCTGAAACTCCAGAAGCGTTTTGTTGACTGAAACGCTTCACCCACCCCTTCATCGACATAGTGGTGAGTAGATAATGAGTGCATTTTCATTTTTCAGTGAACTATCCCTTTAAGGCAGGTTGGCTCCTTGGATTCATGATGTTGATGCTAATATGTGTGACTCAAATGAAATCTTGGTTAAGCAGACCAGTTTTTTTCCAGTCCTCAATGAATTAATAAATAGATAAATAATGAAGTGAACCTGTTGCAGCCTCTGGATTCTGCTCTTGCCTGACCATCCCACACACTCCTCTGCTGTTAAAGACCATCTGCCTCAAGGTTTGACATGTGCTGAATTCTGAGATGCCTTTCTGCATGGCACCATTGTAATGAGTGGTTATCTCAGTTATCTGAGTTACCATAGCCTTACTGTCAGAGTCAGATCAGCATTTCTGTTTGCAGAACTGCTGCTCACTGAATGTTTTTCTTTTCACACATGCCTTGAGATAATGTATGTTATGATTTGGTATATAAAATTCAAGTATTTGGAAATAAATGAAAACAATTGAAATGGGTCCAGAAAAAAATGGACTAAAACATGACATCTGTGAATTGTAGATCTGCCTGATCTCTGTGAACAAAACACTAGTGTAATAGTACAGAATAGTAGTATAGTAGTATAGTAGTATAGAATATACTTTCTCCTAATGCTAAGTAAAGTGGGGGCTGGCAGATCACCATATAATCAAACACTAGAACCTGGTGAAATCATCTGTTTGATCAAAATTAATGACAGTGTGATGGATCTTGATAGTTTATGTTTTTGTTTTGTTTCTATGGATGTAGAGAAGAGGTTCCATAACTTTAATGCTAATTTTTTGTTGGACTGCAACAGCATGGCAGCCCTAGAAATGCAAATGTCCATGACTGACCAGTGATTAAGTTATACCATTGGTCAGCCAGCCTAGAGTTGGGGTTTCCCCATTGGTTGTTGCTGATCAAATATAAGTAAATGCACCATGTAAGCATTGGCCCTGACAGGTCTGTGATGGTTTTAAACACTGGGTGGCGTTATGAGCCATGTTCAACCCATCAACGATCTTTACAAATGTGGTAATAAATGTGATTTTAAAACCAGCAGTAATTCATTTCATCAAGGAACCGTCAATAGAATTCAATTTACGGCTCAAAAAACACATTTAAATGCAGTATCACTCATTAAACACATTAAAGTACTATATATGAGCACAGAGAGAAAGAGATGGAAGGCTTAAACTGGTTGACACTCGGTAGAATGCAAATATGACACAATGACGTCATGGATATGCTAATGTGGTGACTTTTTATAGAATCTAGCTGTTCCATTGAAAGTAACAGCTATCTTGATTATGCCTTCTAAAATCTTGTGAACTATTATTATGACTCTGAGTCATATTGTGTGTTTGTGTGTGTATGTTTATGTGTTTTGTGTTGTTCTTCCTCCCCACCTGGGGGTGCTGCTGTTTCCCCTGCTCTGTGTTTTCCTGTGGCTGTGTTTCAGGTCCAGCAGATGATTGGAGCTGATAGAGCTCACCTTAAAAAAGCTCACCTGCTGATGCTGACGTTTTGTTTTCTACCTGATTTATTAAATAAATCTCCTTTTTGGACGGCTGTGGAATGGGTCATACTTGGGAGTGTGGAAAGAAGGAAGCCTACTTATGTTTTGCTCAGGTTGTTCCCAGGTTGGGCGTAACAGTTTATTGTTAAGGTGTAAAGTGATCACAGGTCAGCAGGAGTGGAGGGAGGACACTCAGAGACTCTGACACGATACAAAGTTTAGTCGCACCTCACAGTTTTAAATGGTCTCACTCTGGAGCCCTGTAGTAGTATAGTACTATTTCAAAATAATTATGTACATTAATCAAAATCACACACCCACTGCTCTACTGTCATCAAAAAGGAATCCAGTGGGACCACTGTGATGTGGTAGAACAGGAGACTGGCAGCATGAATGTGCAGCAGACAAATCTGCAGAATCTCAAGGTTAAACACCAATCAGTCTTAGTAAGATATTCATGATAAAGTGCTTGGCGAGTATATATGTGTAAACTGAACAACCCTACAAATGTGAGTTCCGCGATTAAGATACATTTTAATTGGATGAAATGGTCATTTTCCATCTGTCTACATCTCCATTGATCCAATAGCCAATGATCAAGGATTTATAAAATGTATTAGATATCAAAATTCTAAATCTCTAACTTACATTCAGTTGAAAAAACATTGTCATAATTTCAAAATCAATCATTGAAAATATTGCAACTTGTAAAAATGGACACAGCCACAAAATCTTGAGAAAAAACATTTTCTGAAAACATTTTCTCAAGAAATATAATTCATTATGCATATTCAGTGACCAATATCCATGATTTGCTCAGTATTGTACATTAGCTAATGAGCTAAGCAACTGCTTTCATTATCAACCACACTGCTGTGGCAGGCGCAACGAGCTGATGAGCACTGCAGTGAAAATGGATGAAACAAAAGCAAAAGCAAAAAACCAATTTAAATCAATTCCAATGTTTTTTTATGCAATTTTTCTCACTGAGAAGGAAACTTACCTTGACATGTTTCTTCAGATTTAGATTTGGCTTAAAACTGACTGTCAATGACAGGTTAAGAGATAATGGTTTATCACAAGGAAGCTGACTTCAAAAATCAGTCAGGGCTGAAGGCTGATGACAAAGGAACATCATCCTACACTGCTCAGAAACAGACAGGTATGTGCTGGAATGTCCCCTGGCTTCATAACACACGCACACATGCACAGAGAAAACGAGAAAGGGGGTTTAAGGAGGGTGTGAGTAAGTAAATAATTACTCTGCACCAGTTTAGCCAGAATATAGTTTTTTCCTCTGTGTGTGTGTGTGTGTGTGTGTGTGTGCATAAATTAAACTTGGTGGAATTATCTACAGATGATACACTTTTGGAGCTGATCATTCAAAGGTCCAGGTCAACACAAATATACATTTTCCAACATATTTCCACAAATAATAACAGAAAGGTCATGTAAAGATTATATTGCTCAAAACATCATACCCTCTCACATGATGTCATATGACATCAAAGAGAAGTCACATGACATCATGCAGGGTTCTAAAATGCATTTTCCACATATTGTATGAGACTTTATATCCCAGTGTACATACAAACTGTCACAAACTTTTGTAACATAGCATCTTTTTCTGATGACACATGCTGCCTTCAAATGGTGCTATGTTTACTGTGCGAGCCACAATTTCCTGAAAGCTTCGACTTCACAAGTTGAGATGTGTTTACTGATGCTTTTAGAAATGGCACAGGCTGCAGAAGTTCTATTTTTGTTGAATGGAAAGAGGAAAATGTCCACTGTCATTATGTATTTGCATTTCCCGCATTAACTTGCAAAATTGTGGCTCCTAGATGCCACAATAACATCAATATTAACGTCTGTGTTGCTGTTGGCTAGCAGCAGTGTTCACAACTTCCCTCGTCATAACCACAAGCTCACGAGTTCCATTTGAAGGCGGCAAAAATCAGGAAGAAGCGTCAGATGCCTGATGAGGCTTCGTCCGCCCATCCCTACTTCTAGTCTCTATCAGTATGCTAATTACAGACTGGGGCCATATGAGCAGTAATGCTAATTATGTTGGTAAAAGTTTGTAAAACTGGTTGTGAAGAGCTGAACCACAGTGAATGTGAAAATGTTTTTAATCTGCTGATCTACCTCGGTAATTTTGGAATTTTTTTCCATTTTTTTGATATGATAAGATGCTACAGATATCACCACACAGACCGTCACCTCTCTCTCTCTCTTACACACACACACACACACACACACACACACATACACACTGTAGTGGGTGAGGTCGAGGCGTGACTGCCTCCATCAGGAATGCAGTCGTGTGTGTTTTGAGCTCTCCACATACTGTACAGTCTCACTCAGGCTGATCTGTCAGTTTCCCTGTTCACTGTGCCTGGCAGATACTGACGAACTTTCCTGATCCTATCAGAATGGAAAGAAGAGGAATGCAGAGGTAGAAATGCAAGAACAGGCCCTGTGTGGACATACGTGAGGATTTTTATTTTCTTGGACACCTGCACATTTCTGCCAATCTGCCAGGAAATCTCTCTTTGAATCAGCTCCTGGTGACTCTTCTTTCTCTGGTGGATTTCGTCATCAAACTTTTTGTGGATTATTAAAATGACGTCAGACACTGATTGAGCTTTTGGAATTCAACTGTATCTCTTTTAATTCAAAAAGTTAAAAATCTGTCTTTGGAGTTGAATCTTCGTTTCAACATCATCTACATTGTTTCTTATAGTTTTGCTCTCGTTCTTCGTGTCGAACACGTTCAGAGATTTTTTCAATATATATCAAAGTCTTCACTGATTACCAGCTGTTGGAGTGACTTCCATTTGAGCTGCAGTGCCGGTGGTGTGAATGATCTCTGCTACAGATGTTAATGTGACACCTGACTGATGCTATACACCCTGCTGAAGCTGAGCATGGTATCTCACTGGATCACATAGAAGAGGATATCAAAGGTAAGAAAGCTTCAATGATCTGCACAATTCATGTAGGGGATGATGACATCAGAAGTCCAGGGGCTTTATCAGGTCTGTAGCCAGGATTTTAGAAATAGTCCACAAGCTAATTCCCAACAACATATACCTTTACCAAGTTAGGTAAAGCAATCATGATCTGGCATTAAGTACCCCTATACTAAAAGTATCTTGCTGTACTCCATGAATGATTAAATTGTTCATTGTTTCAATACTTGTACTCCATCTTTTTTCCACTGCTGTAACCCTATCATCACTTTGGCAAGGATTCTTCAACAAGCATGTATCTGAATTTCCAGAGGTTTACTTAGCCCCTGCACTTTTTACATGTCATCACAGTAAAAAGTATTGTACCATAATTAGTTTGTACATTCCCTAGCTGTATGCCAATTACATCCGCTGCACACTGTACTAGGAATCAGTAATTATTGGGAGCACACTCATTCAGTGAAGTAGTGAACTGAGATGACAGGAACCTGTGTTACTGCTGTGTTTGACCATGGATGCTTTGAAACCTGATTAATCCTGTGTGACAACTCTTTTGATTTCAAATGAACACATGGAGATGTATGGCGGCATGTTGGTGCAGTTGTTAGAACTGTCACCTCACATGCACAGGAAGAAGGTTTTGGGTTTGAATCAGTTGGGGCCTTTCTGTCTGGAGTTTATGTGTTCTCAACATACTCCTCCCACAGTCGACATGCAGCTTAACTGAAAACTCTAAATTGCCCATAGGTGTGTATCAGGGTTTGGATTGTTTGTTTCTACATGTTGGCCCCGTGATGAACTGGTGACCTATCCAGGGTGTACTCCATCTTTCGCATGATGTCACCTGGGATTGGCTCTTGCTCCTGGCAACCTTCGAAAAATAAGTGGTGACAATTCAGTCATCTGTTCCAGTTGAAATTATTAAATTAATATTACTTCTGAATTAAGATTTATCAGATTGGGAAACACCTAGAGTCTCCAATATCTATTACATACCACAAAATGAAAATGTTCAAAAGTAATAAAATTAATTTAATATTTATGGCTAAAATAATGCATTGAGAGAATGGGAGTGGAACAATTGTGTTATTGTGTGCAGAAGTTCAAAGATTTGTGTAAGTAAAGGAAAGAAATACATTTAAAAAAATTTAAAAATTAAGGAGAGTTTGAAATATGTCTGGAAAACCCTTCTAAATAATTTGCTGGATTCCTCTTACAGGTTAGAATCATCTTAATGTGTCCTAAAGTCCCTTGACTGTCTCACAGTGACAAGTGAACAAATATAACACAAAATAAGTGTGAAGCCAGAAAGCGACTGACAGACACCTATTTTACCAACCCCACATACACACACACAAACATGTACGTACACACACACACACACACAAACACAGACCCTGCTCTCAGTGACAATGGCAATACACGGTAGAGAGAACATCAGAAACATTTTACAAGTGTCGTTGCTAAAGTCTGTTGCTACAAGTGCAACAACTCTTTTGCGTGTGAAAGAAACACAAGCACATGTCATCCACATCCAGTTAAAGTGAAGAGTGCAATTTTCAGGTCACTCATAGCAGGGGTGGCTGTAGTGAGTGGGGGGCTGCAGACCACAGTCAAAACACTGTGAAAGAAAGAGTCTGGTATTCACTTCAAACGACCCTGATAAGAGCTGCGTTAAAGTACCAGATCAATAAACAGTATAGTAAGAGTTGCACTCTGGATTCAGACTGTATGTGAAAGTAATGCAAGGTTGTTTCGACCAGAGCAGAGCAGATGGGTGAGAGGAAAAGAGCAGTGGTTTGATCTGACCGAATCATCATCGGTTTTGTAATTACATACAACAGAGGGGATTTATACCCAGTTATCACCAGTTTCCTCATGGTATTCTGAGCTGCAGGGATAAAATAAGATCGTAAAAGCATCAATTGCCAGTAATTAAACTATCTCTGCAGAATAACTGTGGAACAACAAAACAAATCGAGGGGGTCCTCTCTATGGAGGCCGCCATTTTTTTTAGTCCTGACTGGACAAACTAAACACCTTTTGAGTTTTTATGACAACTGAAGCTACCACAGGTTCTTTTTCATGTTTGGAAGGAGAGGGTGAGGTGAGGGATATGCAGCTGCAACATAAAACTTCAACACTAGATATCACAAAATTCTACACACTGCACCTTTAAATGGACCTTTTGTCAGTCACTGTAACTGAATGTACCTGCAGGTTGTCTCATGTCATATTTAATGGTCTAATCAAGGATCTGGTGATGTTGCTTGTAAGTAACAACTCTTTCACACAAACACTTTCATAGCCAGATAGGAAAACCCAGAGTTGTTAGCTTTGTACAGGTTATCCAAGATGATCAATGTTAGACTTTGTGAGGCCAGCCTTATAGCACACCCCCCAGAATTCTTAGGATAGGGTCATTAGAACATTGATGAGGCTTACTCAATGAAACTATACTTTTGTGAACATGAACGTTATAGTAGCAATGGGCTTAGAGCTGAGAGCCAGTGAGAATCAGTCTTTACAAACATTGATTGGCACACAGGTGGTCAGTAAAACAGGCGAAAAGTAAAATCCGACAAGGAGTGGACAGAGGCTGAAAAACCAAGAACATAAAATGCTAGGAGAAATGTGAAAACAGTTGAAGTTCAGGGTAAAATGACAGAGAGGAAGGGGAGCACACAGGTGGTGAAACCAATGAGCCACAGGTGAAACCACACACAGCTGACACACAGGAAATGGTAATGTTAACCCAAGTGATGCGTGACTCGAGGTAAAACAATAAACATGGCTGATGGAGAGATGACACAGTGATTCCCTTACAGCTGCAGAAGTGCTGTTCCGCTGCTGACACTGACCTTTGACCACTGTGTGGAAGAGGGGCAAGAGAAAACACACTGCCCCTGCAGGGATCAATAACGTATTGGTTAAACCCTGCAAACTCCGAGCTGAGTGGTTGAGCTGGGCATCAGGATGAATTATAACTCTGTCATCAATCTATACAGAAAGTGAACACACACACACAGCTGATCATTATTTGAGTCCTGCAGCAACTACTGACATGCTGTTATATAAAAAAAACCATTTACGTGACTGAGGCAAGGACACTGTCTCGCTATTTGTTCCAGGGAAAAGCTCATTTTCCCTGTGGAATAAATGGAGACTTGTAGAGACAGAGACCAGTCAACTAATCTAAAAGTAAGATAAGTCACAGAAAACAACTAAAATAGAGAACAATGTAATTGACATCCCTGTGTCACAAGGCCATATTGGCTTGTCTGAGTTTGGCTGTCAGTGAGTTCATTTGTTCAGCACTTGTCTGGACAAAAAATGTTGTTTAAGTACATAATGATTTCTGGCCTCTTAATGCAAACATGGGAACAGAGACAAAGGAAGTTTTGAGATTTTTATATTGAGCTGGGCAGCTACAGGTAGGACTAGTTTCCTGATAATCAACCAGGGAAGGCAGATGAGGAATATGATTCACACAAGTTACACGTGGCATCTATTGCACTTCTGTCCGTCCCGGGAGAAGGATCCCTCACATGTGGCTCTCTCTGAGGTTTCTACATTCTTTTTCCACTGTTAAACATTTTTTTGTTGTTGTAATTTTTCAGGGCAGGGCAGAGGATGTCATGTTGTTGAAGCCCCATGAGACACAATTGTGATTTGTGAATATGGGCTATACAAATACAATTTGATTGCTTAATTGATTGATTTGTATTTTCATCTCTAATCTTAATTGTCAAATTTTCAGATTACACTTTACCCTAAATCTGCCTACAAACAAATTGACGGATGTTTGGATTTCGCTGCCTGTGCTGCTTTTACACAGCCAACGATAAACTCTGGGGATTTCATCATCCATAACATATTTTTTTAAAACCACCTTTCAATGAGGTAATGTCAGTCTTTGACTTTGTCACTCGAGTTTGGCTGTAAGGCTCTGGATTTTTCTTTTGTATCTTCATATTGTCTCACTGAGGCTCACAACAACACAAAGCTCCTTCTGCTTCTGTTGCAACAACCTTTGACCTTTAGAAACCAAGCAATGGATGGCTGTACCTTCATCCAAGGTGAAGAGTTAGGGATAAGACTGTGGATGGCATTTTCTGAAACCTTTACAACAATGTTGACTGTCAAGTATCTTTTGACCTCTGGGTCATCTGGCAGAATCCCATGAAGTTCCACCATTGACCACTACAGAGAAGTTCTACAGTACAATAATCCATCCTCATTCCACTTGATGCTACAATCTCCTGATGCTCCATCATTGGGGTGGCTATATCACAGGAAGTTAAATGGATTTAGTTAGATTAGATCCCTGGCTCCTCAAGTCTGTGTGTCCTCGGGCAAGATACAGGACCCCAACATGTGTGAATGGGATGAAAGGATGATAAAGAAGCACATGGGAGTGCAGTGGTTAACACAGTTGCCTCATGGCAAGGAGGTTCTGGAAACTTTGAGACCTGAGAAAGAATTTACAATCTTCCTTTGACCCATTGTTCTCGACAGAATACTTTTCCTTTTACCCTTCAAGTTCATTTCACCTTGCAACTTTATTTGTGCTGAATGTGCATGTACTACCAGAATGCAAAATATACTTTTATTTACTGACAGTGGAGCCAATCACTGACTTAGGAATATTGAATCAGTCATCAAGGCTTGAAAAAGAATCACGTCATTTTAATTTTATTGTAGTTTGTATATGTGTCAAATGTGTTAGATTTGGCCTGTTTGCATAACATTACTTTTAGGTTTACTCACAAGGTAAAACACTTTTTTATTAAAACGAGGGGAGAGCACTAAAGCTTCGGTAGACTAGGAGACATTGTGTATGAACTGCTAAATCCATTAAATAGGACAAAGTGAAAGAGATCAGGTAAATATTTGAGATGTTAGAGGACATACTCTCAGAAGACATGGGGTTCTTGAAGATAGAACAAGAATGGCTCTGCTCATTCACCAGTGTCTTATTATCCAATATCATAATTTTCTTACATTTTTTCAAAAGAAGTTTCCTAATTCATGACTCTTAAGCTGCAGAATTGTTTGCATCTGTGTTCTTATTTTGATGAATGCCATCTGTTCGTAAAATGAAAGCGTGCGTCAGTTTTTCCTAATTAACGTACGTAAACACCCCGCCAATGCCCATAAAAGAGCATGAGAATGCAGTGTCGTTTGCACACACAGAAATCTCAGAAACTGAAAAGAACATTTGAGAAGCCAGGAGTGATTGAACCAAAAATCCAAAGACGGCACTGCGCCAAACTCAAACTGTAAAAAAAGTTGTTTTGTAGTTTCAGCAGTGGATATAAAATAACACAAAAAAACGATACATGGAATGCAATCACACTTTCAGTCAAAGCTGTATTGGGAGAAAGTTGCATAATTGAAGTAAACAAATAGTTTGATCTCTGATTTGAAATTAAAAAAAATGTAGAAGAGAGAAAGGGGAAGGGAAAAGAAAAGGAAGGTGCAGAGACAAAATGTTTTGAACAATCTTCCGTTTCAGGTTCCGCTCAGGGAGCTCTGCATCCACAGACCCGGGTGTGGTGCGCACCACTTGGTGTGGTTGGAAATAAACTTTTAAGAAGCTAAACTTGGACAGAACATTTGAACTAAAAGCTGTAAAGTTATGGAACATGTGACGAATTTAATATGTAAACACCAGTGTGTAAAACCTGAAGACGGGTGACTATTTCCATGACTGAATATATATATTAATAATATTTTCATGTGTTTAAAAAAATTGTAACATGCACAAAAACTTTTCTGTGTTTTTTTAAGATAAAACGGATCATCTAAAAGTGCACTGACGTAAATGAGGCAAAAGATAAACAATGGAATTAGTCATGCCAACATCCATGTCAGTTGGATGTTGTCTGCAAATAAGTGATATGAGAAGACTGACACCATAATTGGACCCAAGTAAGTAGTGAATATTCACCACTGATGATGCTTCTAATGTGCGACAGACGCTAATGAAAACAAAAGACATATCATACATCATACATGTGGAAGACATCGACGGAGATGTCCAGAGAGTTCACCTGAAGGATTGGTTGCTGTTGTGAACTGTCTGTGCAGAAAACCTCCTGCTGTGTGTGTGGAAGGAGAACTGCGGGTGAACTCTGTATCCAATTCTCCAGATTTTACCTGCAGGTCATGTATGAAGAAAAGAACTGAGCTGCAGCGGCACAAGTGATTTGTTTGAAGGAGGGGGTTCCTTGAGAGGAATTCTTTCAATTGTTTAGGAACTGCCATTTCAAGCTTAGATAAGTATGAGTAATGACACTTTGAAGAGAGGTTTTACCTGGACTGCTACAGGAGCATGAGAGCAGAGCAGAATTGCCAAATGTTTAGTTTGAGAAAAAAAAAATCTATTTGCATGCCGACTTTAGTTTAGTCTATGTCCAATCCACTGAGGTAGAGGCAGGCATTTATGAGTGATAGTGCAGCCAGCCACAAGGTGGCCATGAAGAAAATGTGGCTTCTCTTTTGGTTAACTGTCTTGTCATAAATCTTTAAATACAGTCTATGGTTGACAGTAGAGTATCACCACAAACAACCACACATAAACACAATGTATAACTAAACAAACCGTACACTGTGTTACCACTCTAACTGGAAAAATATATAGAAGAGCATATTGTTTGCATCTCTGGTTTCGGGCCGTCAGCATTTTGCTTTATTACTATATAGGAACCTGAGTATGCAGCTGTTTTGCAACTTCACTGAAACTATTTCTGTAGCGGAACAATCCAAAGAGCTGTTTCTATGATAAATCACATCCCTCATAAATGTCCATACACAGACAGTGTTGTCAGTGCACTGAGCCACGCCTCGTGACTCACCTGAGCAGGAGTGGTTCCAGTTTGTAAATCACACCCCAAATTAATTTGTGTCTGACTGTGTTACTTTGTGCAGGTGCATGTGTCTGATCATGTTAGTACAAAGGGGATGTTTGTGCAGCCTTTGGAGACCTGGATATGGATATGCAAAAATGATTCAAATTGTATTAGATTGATTTTCAAGAGATGGTATTTGAATTATTTTTGTGTGACCGTTAAGAATTGTTCAGCATCTATTTATTGTTCATCTGACTGTTAGTGGAAATGTTGTGCAGTACTAATTCCACTCAAGCTCTTCTTATCCCAATCACATGCAACATCTACATTGTCATACATCAATATTTTGTGTGAAAAACTTGATTATTTTTAAATGATTTATATGTTCCTGCCTTATTTGTGTTACTTTTTAAAATGATGAGTATTATTTTTTAGAATTGTGGTAGATTGAACGAAAAAAAAAAATTCAAATTAATTTGTACAGCACCAAATGACATCAACACATTACTAAACTAAAAACTAAAAAAACCTGATGGTTTTTATATCTCAGTAGTGGCATACAGTACAAGCTTAATGACATATTATCAATCGTGCATCCTATTATAACTGTAACACAGCACACAGACTTTTCATTGTATTTTTGCAGTTACTGGCAACATTGCTGTGAATGAGTTACCTGCACATTTGATTACAGCTTATGGTGGCACCAGAGGGGAGGTCAAGGTATCTTCAAAAATATTTTAGTGCCAATACAACCTTACAAATTGTTATTCATATTTATAATTGGAATGTCCAAGGTTCAAAGGTTCAAAGGAGTAACCAGATGTGATGTAAAATATGGGTCAAACTGACCTGAGAAAATAAGACATACAG